CCAGAGGCAAAGTTGGCCTTCTTTTTCAAGCAGCTGAATTTGAAATGAGCTGTTGTAACATCACTTAAAGGAGCTTTAACCCTGAGAGAGAGGGGGAAAAAAAAGCAGCACCAACAGAAACCAAAAGCCCTGGGAGATCCAAAGCCCTCCTCCAATATATGCAAATCTGTTTCAGAGCAATCACTTTTAAGCCTCTCAGATCAGTTAAATCACAATGTTCAACAAACTAAGTTATTAGTTTGATAGTTTCTCTTCTGCTTTTGAATACATTCAAAAGAAGACTTTTGTCATTACATTTTTCATCAAGATAACATCATTTCCTTGTTAAAACCTAAACTGCCCCATATTAGCTAATCTCTGGTTAGCTTGCTGGCCCAAGAGCAGCACTTTCACCTTTAGACTAAAAAAACCTAGAATATACAACTTAGAGACTATTCACACAATTACTCATGTAATTAAACCCAGAGGAAGGGCAACACCAACCAAGTCTTTTACAGCTGGTCTGTAACTACCAGGATGGTACCTAGAGTTATCTATTGAGGTGCAGTGAGGCCTTACAATTCCCTGAAACAGTCAAGTCATAGAATGCTTTGAAATCCAGAAGTCAAGGTAACAGTACTACTGTTAGCTATATAATAAAAATCATACCCAGTATCCTGGCTGGGAGGCCCTGGCAAAGCTACAACTTCTCACAGCCACGGTTTGTTTTTTTACTTGTAAACTGAGGGAGCTGGACTAAGGGTTCCTTCCAGCTCTGAAATTTTAAGATCTTTGATTAACTCAAGATTTACAGAAAAAAGAGCAAGCAAATGAAAGCAGTTAAGCGAAAACCCAATAAAACAGTAATGTGCAGCTCCATATATATGATGCCCCCAGCTCCTAGGCAAGGAAGACAAGTAAACCCTTCCTAAGGCTTGCTCCGGAGAGTTCAGACATCTGCAGGAACTGCTAAACAGCCATGGTGAGGACACCTTCATATGCCAGCAGACCCAACGTAAGTATGCCCTGAAGAAGTTATAAAGGTCAAGGCTTTATTCTTGAGTAGAATGGCCACACACACCCCCTCTGATTTGGGAATGGGGATGCCCTGCCTGCCACCAAATTCCCACTCCCACTCAGTTTCCCCAACACCATACCTACCATCAAAAATGGCAGAACCAAGTATTTAAGTAATAGCATGCAAATCAAGATTTCAATAAGAAAAGGTTCCTTGCAAGAGAAAGGCAGAAGAGAACAGATAAAGGCAGAAGAGCATAACTTTGTGTAACTGAGCCCAAGGAAGGAAGAAGAACCCATTCACATCTGTCCTACTGGAAACGAGATAAAGGCATAGTAGTCACAGTGGTGACAACAGCAATCTGACTGGAAAAGCCTGGTACAGAAGAATTGAGGACAAGGTCCTTCCGTTGAAGCAGAAATAATGCTCTACCCAAGAAAAAAGATTGTGTCTGCCAGCCACATGAGGCTGGTCTGCATGCATGTCACCACAGCAGAGGGTGGTGAAAACATGCAGGTGTCCTGCTGCACTCCCTGGAACTCAGCACCAGTCTAGGACTGTGTTTCCCCCACCCCTCCATCCCCATGCCCTTAAAAAACTACAGTTGATCCTTGAACAACACAGGTTTGAACTGTTCGGGTCCACTTATATGCTGATTTTTTTCAGTATAGTACTGTAAATGTATTTTCTCTTCCTTATGATTTTCTTAATAACACCTTTATTGTGTTTAAGAATACAGTATATACTACACATAACATACAAAATATACATTAATCGACTGTTTAAGTTAATAATAAGGCTTCTGGTCAACACTAGGCTATTGGTAGTTAAATTCTGGGGGGGGGGAGTCAAAAGTTATACGTGGATTTTCAACTGCATGGGGGTGAGAGGTCGCGGCCCCCAATCCCTGCATCATTCAAAGGTCAACTATAGTTACTACAAATGTCAAACATTTTCTGGGATTCTCTCCTCCTCATAGATAACTCAGGCAGCCTGGTGACAAACTGCCCTTAGCCAATTAAAAGATTTCCACTGATATTCACCTTTATAAACGATCAGGACACATCATTTATCATGCAAACAGTCCCAGGCAGGTACATTAGTGGTGGAAACTGGACTGGAGTAAGGAACTAACAATTTTGCTTCTGCTCTTCTCTATTTCAGGTTAAAGAAGCAAGCTTCTCGTTCAATGCCCACATAGGGGACGGAGTATTCGGGTGGGGGCAACATCATATTGGACTTATCTAGCCAAACTCCACAGTTTCTTTTTGTCAAACTCCAGTTTGCCTCTCCACCCACTCTAGCTTTGGCCACACAGAGGCAGGGTAAACGGGCAACAATGACTCTGGTTAGAAATTGCAAATAGAATGCAAAATTGTATTCTAACCCTCCCAATACATAAACAGCACAAAAGTCGAGGAGAGTTTCACTGCATCATGCTCTGTCAGGTAAAATAAAGACCTGGTACTGTAGGTTTAAAGCATTCCAGGCACATTTGTAACAAGAAACAGGACGGTGTGATAGCCTGTAATAGCAAGAAAGCCATAGGTTTCTTCAAGCTGTTAGAACATACTGACTTCAGATGCCACCAGGCACTTTTCAGAGAAACTATTCTGGAAGCTGCCTGTGCTGTTTAAAAGGCTAGAGGTGGGGCGCCTGGGTGGCTCAGTCATTAAGCATCTGCCTTCAGCTCAGGGTCATGATCCCAGGGTCCTGGGATCGAGCCCCACATTGGGCTCCCTGCTTGGCGGGAAGCCTGCTTCTCCCTCTCCCACTGCCCCTGCTTGTGTTCCCTCTCTCGCTGTGTCTCTCTCTCTGTCAAATAAATAATAAAATCTTTAAAAATATATAAAATAAAAGGCTAGAGATATGATGAACAGCTAACTGGAGGGGCACCCGAGGAGGCAAATGCATTGCCAATGATGCAAAACAGAGTCCTCATCCTGTCATGTCATAGGCTGAGATGCACAAACCTTGGAATCTTTGTGAAGTGAGGCTTGTGCATCTGTGTGTGTGGATAGGAATGTACCTCAGTGATCTGCCACCAAGCTGACATGCCACAAATGGGTATCTGTGGCAACTTATTTAACCAACTGTACTCTACTAGATTGACTATGTTCCTTAAGGTTCTCCTGTGTCCAGGTAAGAAAATAAAAGCAAGTGTTTCCCGGGCTTCCTGACTGGGATTTGAAATAGAAGTCATAAAAAGCCCATAAATAAGCCTATTCCCTAAGTCCCTGGTGGAAATTCCTAAAAGACCGAAGAAACCTAGACACCGTTTTATTTTTCTTTTTAAATAAGGATCCAGCATATTTCAAAAGACCCAAGAGGTCAGCTTAATCTTGTTGTTAACTGAAATCGCTGAGATCCAGATGAAAATTCTGGCCATGAAACACGAATTTCTTTTCAAGTAATAATTGCCTACTAACAACACTGAATTTTACTACCACGGCACAAATAACCTTCATTTTTCTGGTATAACAAAACACCTAAAACTTGTCAGAGTCTTGCAAAGTCTAAGCCACCTGGCATCACGCGCTGCTAGATTTGCTTCCACCATCACCAACCACCCCCCTGAATTCGATCCTACCATCTCACAATTTGGGGTACTGATCCCACACAACAGAGACACAACGTGTGAATGGCTCTGCAGAGTCCATTCCTGTTCCTGGAAAAAGAACCAGAAGCACACATTTGCCTGACCATGAGTCAGGAATATCACTTTTGTGGTGGAGCCCATCTCTGCTGTGACCAATCCACAACGAACACACGACTCAGGCGACCACCACAGAGGTAGGTATTCCAGAGCAAGCTTTCCCAACCTCGGGTCCACTTAAGCAAGGTCATTAACGGTCTCCTCTGTGAAAGCAATTTTTTTAGACTCTTTACGATGACATTAAGTCTTCAGGGCAAAACCACAGAAACATTGCCACACCACGTAAAAGTCACCTGAGTTTCAGTTTGGGTAATTCAGTTATAACCAAACTAAAAGAAAATAAACTTTCAGGGGCAATTGACAGGAACCACAGCGATGCGATGAACTTGGCCCATCTGGTGATGATCATCTTGAGCAGGGCGCGCTCCAGAACTATAGGAGCCGGTTACATACTATGTCCCACTCCACTTATGTAACTAGAAGATCTCCGGCGAAGGGGGGCGGGGAGGATGGGAGGGCGCTCACATTCTGAGGCCACGGAACCCCCCAAAGACCCTGGGGGCGCACTCCCACCGAAGAGCCTCTAGTGCTCCCGGACACACAGTCCCCTACCTAAGGTTCATGATGGGAACTATAACCGCCTCTTTATGATGAGTTGTGGGACCAGGAACACAATGTCTAGTCCCTTTTGTGGGTGGACAATAATTCCCACCTACTTGTTCCTGCTAGAGGGGAAAGGAGATGGTGGACCGACTCGCTCGCAGTGGGGGCAGAAAGTCATGGAATGGGCGAGAAGGAGGGGGAGGCAAAGCCTGGAGATGGGGGTGAGAGCACAGGAGCCCTTGTGGCGCACTCTCCCGACGGGAGGCGGACTGCGCACGCGCGCCAGTGGGGGGGGGCCGAGTAACGGCAGAGGGGGCGCGCGAGGGAGGGAGAGGGGAGAGCGCGATCCAGGGAGAGGCCGGGGCGGCGGGCGCGCGACGACGCCGCGGGCCCGAAGCCCCGAGAAGGGCACGACGCGCGCGCAGCCCCGACAGGCAAAACCCCGGCGACAGGGGCGCCCGCGGGGCCGGGGGCCGGGATGCGCGCCGGAGGCGGGAGGGAGGGGGGCGTCAGGCGAAGTCGGCCCTGGGAGACCGCGCCGAGGACGGTCACCGCGAGCGCGGGTGACGGGCCGAGGGGGGAGCCGTCACCGGCGGCGGCGGCGGGAGGGGGAGGGTAGAGAGGAGGGACGCCATCCGCCAGCCGTGTCGCCCGACCCCGCGGGCCCCTCCCGCGCCACGTCCCGCCCCTACCCTCCGCCCCCCGGCAAGGGTCCCCGCCCGCGGCCGCGGCGGTCCCACTCACAGTCTCTCCTCCTCGCCTCCTCCTCCTCCTCCGCTCGGCGCGGCAGCGGCGGCGGCGGCCATTTTCCGGACGGCTTTTACCACAGCCCTCTCTCTGAGAGGAGGGAGCGCGCGCGCCGCCGACGCCGGGACCCCGCACGGCCGACGTCGCGCCCCGCCCTCCCGGCCGGCTTGCGCGCTGCTGCACCTGCGCGCCCGCGCCCCGCCCCCGGCACCGCCGCGAGCCCTCCTGCCATTGGGTGCGACGACCAGGGTGGGGCGGGGTCTCGGTGATGATGCTACCAATTGGCTGGAGTTTGTGTCCATTCCGGCTAGGGAAAAGGGGGTGGAAACCCTGTCCAGCTCCCGATTGGTTGCCATCGACCGTCATTTGGGGAAAAGAGGCGGCTAGGGCGCGGAGGGGCTGGTTTAGTGGGAGGAATTTGAATATTAAGGATTAATGGGCCCTTGCGGATGCTGGGGCAAGTGAAGGCCTCGACTCCGCACGCCTGCTTTGCGTGGCCCTCCTGGGCCATTGACCCGCTGTACACAAACGCACAAACTACGCTGCTGTAAGAGTTTCACCGCACCTGTATTTTCTCGGTATCACCACCTTCACTAGAAGCAGCAAAGTTGCCTACCCTGGAGCCTGACGTTCCAGACAACGGACCTTCGTTTCAGGGGCCTACCCATTGCATTCTTTCATCTGAGCCTGCTGTGTGCCGTGTGCTACACTCTCATGGGGTCAGGGAATAATTAACAAATCACAGCCGTGGCCTTCCTGAAACTCTGGCGGGAGAAGACGGTGCATGCCCAAGGCTGCAACGAGATCTGTCATTGTTGTATCAGATGGTTTGGTGGAGGTGTGGAGAAGGGGCAATGAGAGCACAAAGGAAGCAGCACTTAGCTCTGCCAGCTCTAACACCTGCTAGAAAAGGTGATTTGGGAGCTAAGATCCAGCAATTCTGTGTCAGAAAAATAAGAGTGTGGGAAAAGTTTTATCCAATGGGGTGTGCAGGACAGGACTATTTCTCAAGGCAACCTTAATCTGATTCCACCTATCATCCAATTCATCCAATGCTCCTTGTACTGGTTCTATGCTTAACAAGGAACCTTCTAATTCTGATTTGCCACCTCCCCCCTTCATTTATTAAATACCTGTTATGTCAGGCACTGTTCCAGTTTCTGGATTCACAGTACCAAACAAGACAGTAAACTAACATCCTTGTGGCAAAGATTCATACTAAGCATACAGATAAGTATATAATGTCACATAGTGATAAGGGCTTTGATACAGATAAAGCAAGGGTGAAGGGGGTGCTATTTAGATATCTATAGGCTTTTGCCCTCATTTTATTCCCCCATATGGACATCTGGGGAGAGAACATTCCAGGCAAGTTCAAAGGCCCTGAGGTTATACTATGCCTGGCATGTTGGGAAGAAAGCTTACGTGGCTAGAGAAAAGTAGGGTGTGCGGTTGGAGAGGCAGCTAGAGCCACCATGGGAACTGGGAGCTTCTTCTGGGTTGAGAAGCCCTCGGAGGATTTTGAACTGAGAGTTAACATCATCAGATCCATGTTGTAGGTGCAGTGTGGCGAACTGCCCGTGGAGAAACAAAACTAGGAACAAAAGCCCAATCAGGAGACCCTGACAACAGTCTAAGAAAGGTGATAGTGGCATTAACTAGGGTGGTAGCAGTGGAGGTTCTGAGATGTTGTGACACTCAATCTGTATTTTCAAAATCGAGCAGAAAAGATTGGATGTATAGAGAAAGAGAAGAAACAAGGATGATTCCTGAGTTTTTCACTGAGCAACCGAATGAATCGGTGTCTTTCAGTATAATGGGAAAAACTGAAGGAAAAGCACATTTTTAGAGGTACATATCAAGAGTTCCATTTTGACCATGTTAAGCTTGGGGTGCCTATTAGATGTGCAAGTGGAGGTGTTGAGTAGGCGTTTGGGTTAACAAGTCAACAAGTTGAGCATCCAACTCAAGAAGCTGTAAAAGAGGGGCGCCTGGGTGGCTCAGTCAGTTAAGCGTCTGACCTCAGCTCAGGTCATGATTTCAGGGTCCTGGGATAGAGCCCCACGTTGGGCTCCCTGTTCAGCAGGGAGTCTGCTTGTCCCTCTGCTCCTCCCCCTGCTCGTGCTTGCTTGCACGCACTCTCTTGCTCTCTTTCCCTCAAATAAATAAATAAAATCTAAAAAAAAAAGCTATAAAAGAAACAGCAGAGTAAACCTGGAGAAAATAGAAGAAAAATAAGGATGAGTAGAAAATGATGAAACAGAAACAAATGATAGGATTGGAACATCAAAAGCTGATTTTTTGAAAAGCTGAAAAACAAAAGCCAGCCCTTTAACAACCTAAATATAAAGAGAGGAAAGACAAATTATATTAGAAATGAAAAAGAGATGCAACCACAGATACAATAGATAGTAGATAAAACATAAATTTTTAAAAAGGATATTATAAACAACTGTATGTCAGAAAATTGGAAAACATAAACAAAATGAACAAATTCCTAGAAAAGCACAGCTTACCAAAACTGATCCTAGAAACATAAAACCTGGATAGACCCTCTATGACCGCAAAGAAATTGACTATGTATTTTTAAAAATATTTTATTTATTTATTTGTCAGAGAGAGAGAGCGCGGGCGCATGAGCAGGGGGAGCCCCAGGCAGAGGGAGAAGCAGGCTCCCCGCTGAGCAAGGAGCCCAATGAGGGACTTGATCCCAGGACCCTGGGATCATGACCTGAGCTGAAGGCAGACACTTAACGACTGAGCCACCCAGGGCTCCCAAATGACTATGTATTTTAAAAATCTACCCCCTGCAAAAAAAAAAAAAAAAAAAAAAAAGGCTCAGAGAGCTTTACAGATGAATTCTACCAAATTATTAATGAATGGGTAATTCCAACCATGCACAGAAAAAAAACCTCTCTAAACTTATTTTATGAGCATAATAGAACTACTATAATGAGCCAATGAAAGCATGCCATAGGATAAGTAAATAGATGTAAAAATTCTAGACAAACTGAATCCAGCAGATTATAATTATATATCATAACCAAGTTGAAATTTTTACTAAGAATGCAAGGATGGTTTAAAATTAGAAAATCAGGGGTGCCTGCGTGGCTCAGTCGGTTTTTTAGTGTACAAGACTAGAAGTCAAGACATTTTTTTTAAGATTTTATTTATTTGACAGAGAGAGACACAGCGAGAGAGGGAACGCAAGCAGAGGGAGTGGGAGAGGGGGAAGCAGGCTTTCCTCTCAGCAGGGAGCCCGATGCGGGGCTCGATGCCAGGACCCTAGGATCATGACCTGAGCCGAAGGCAGACGCTTAATGACTGAGCCACCCAGGCGCCCCTAGAAGTCGAGACATTTTTTAAAGAGAAAACCAATGAGGAGGATCTTGCTAAATTCCTTAGTTTGACTACGCAGGACTTAAATAATACAATTTCACTTTTGCCATTGAAAAGTAGAAAAATATACTAGAGTTTAAAGTATTCACTAGTAGAATTAAAAATGTGTCATTTAGGGGCGCCTGGGTGGCTCAGTCGGTTAAATGTCTGCCTTCGGCTCAGGTCATGCTCCCAGGGTCCTGGGATCGAGCCCCACATCGGGCTCCCTGCTCAGCGGGAAGCCTGCTTCTCCCTCTCCCTCTCCCTCTCCCTCCCCCTGCTTGTGTTCCTTCTCTTGCTTTGTCTCTCTCTGTCAAATAAATAAATGAAATCTTTTTTTAAAAATATGTCATTTTAAAAAATGGGCTATAATTTTTTTTTTAAGATTTTATTTATTTATTTGACAGAGAGAGACAGCCAGAGAGAGAACACAGCGCCCCGGGCTATAATATTTTTTAAATGAGTCCCCTTAAAATGTGGACTGTAGGGACGCCTGGGTGGCTCAGTCGGTTAAGCCTCTGCCTTCGGCTCAGGTCATGATTCCAGGGTCCTGGGATCGAGTCCCACATCAGGCTCCTTGCTCAGCAAGGAGCCTGCTTCTCCCTCTGCCTGCCTCTGTCTGTCTTTCTCTCTGATAAATAAATAAAATCTTTAAAAAAATAAAAATAAAATAAAATAAAATGTGGACTGTAAAAGATAAAAACCAGGAAAATAGGGGCACCTGGGTGGCTCAGTCTGTTAAGTGTCTGCCTTTGGCTTAGTTCATGATCTTGGGGTCCTGGGATCCAGCCCTGCATCAAGCTCTCTGCTCAGGGGGCAGTCTGCTTCTCCCTCTCCCTCTGCCTCTCCCCCTCTTGTGCTCTCTCGCTCTCTCTCTAATAGATAAATAAAATCTTTTAAAAAAGACACACAGGAAAATATAGTATGAATAGCAATTGACAGAAAACCAACAACCGGAAGGATTTTATCAATATGACAGAACACCAACTCCTAATCCATCTGTCTAAAAATCCCTTGGATAGGGGTGCCTGGGTGGCTCAGTCGTTAAGCGTCTGCCTTCGGCTCAGGTCATGACCCCAGGGTCCTGGGATCGAGCCCCGCATCGGGCTCCCTGCTCTGTGGGAAGCCTGCTTCTCTCTCTCCCACTCCCCTTGCTTGTGTTCCCTCTCTTGCTGTCTCTCTCTGTCAAAAAATAAATATTTTTTAAAAAATAAAAATAAAAAAATAAAAATCCCTTGGATTGATAGGAATATATATATATATTTTTTTAGAAAAGCACATCCAAAATGACAATGGAAAATGAGAAGGGCAAAATGGACGGTCCAGAGTTGTAGAACTAGCATCTCAGATGATAACAAACAGAAAGAAATAAACCCATCAAAGTAAAGAAAATGTGGTGAAAATGGGAGGTTATCCTCAAAGGACAGATTTCAACAATTTTTTGGAAAGCAGGCAGGAATTAGTTGAATAAAATAGGTGGGAAAAATCTAGCCTGGAACATTTGATAAGGGAACTACTGAGGAGGTGGGAGTCAGTTTGCCAGATATAAGACCAGAGAGTAGGCTCAGAATCAGCAGGCATGTGATGGAAGGCAATAGAACTGCATGGGACCAAACACATGGGAATTAACTGAAGACCCCAATACAGAATGACTGCAACAGTTGGAGCTCCTCTCCTCTACCAGATAGCTGAGCTGGCAGTTGGGGCAGGCCTGCAAGAAAAATACCTGACAGTTCCCTAAAGAAATGGAATGAAATGTCTATAGAGAGCTAGTT